TGGTAAAACAGAAAACAGAGTGTATTTCCCAATATTTCTGAGACTCTCTATGTGAATCTCTAAATTCACCACTTTTTCTTTCCTATTTTGTCTCTGCAAATAGGAGACAAATTTTTTTTTTTTTTTGCTTTCTGTTTCAAAAACTAGGAATGGTGATAAACAGCAATTGCTAAACATTTGGACATGCTTTGCTGTGTAACCTTGGAATGTTAACAAAATTATCTGAGCAGCTCTGAGCTCCTAGTGCTGATGTTTTAACAATACCAGGGAATAATCTTGGTGAGTTTGGGGGAAAAAAAACCACCTAAATATTGGCTCTGCATGAAAACGGGTAAGTTCAGGATAGCATTAACCCCAGGTGGTGATAGTGAAACTGTTCTTGGCAAAGGACTGGAGAAACGCAGTGTGGTTGTCACGGATCCCTGTGGATGTTTGGAAAAGACATTTTTGTGAGAAACTCTTATCCAGCACTCTGTAGTGGTAGGAAGAAGATTTTCGGAAATGACAGCCTGCAACTGGGGTCATCCAGCTTTCCTTACTCCCGACCTCCTCCTCCCATCACCGGTTTCCGCTTTCTCGACTGATGGGAGCAGCCAGGAAACGATCCTGTAGGTAAAACCGCTTTGCTTGGCATCTTCAGAAACACGTGTTGACCTGCTGCTGGATATCAGGGTCGTGGCAGGATCTGGCTTGGCCGTGCTGGTAGGAAGAGCAGCAGGGGTACAAACCTGACCAGTGGAGGATGCAGGGAAGTTGTCTCAGGGAATGGTTTTATGGCCCGTCTGGCTGGTGGCTGCTGTGTAGTTGCTGACAGCGCACTTGCTGCCCGCAGGCAGAGTCAGTAGTGTGAGGTTGTGGCTCTTCTGCAGGCTGAGACCTTTCTTTGCCAACAAGCAGCTTTTAGGGCTCCTTTGAAGTTGCTTGGAAGGGTTCTGAGCCGTTCCCGTAGCAGTGGAAGATGCCGTGGGAATTTCTGCACGAGTGCAGCCCAACTGGACCTCACTGAGCCTGGTAAAATTGTTGGCAATTCTCACTCTGGTAGTCACTGGCCCTTTCTGAATCTATAATATTTTCCAGTGTTGGATGATGCAGCTAAACAGTAGGGTTCTGAGTGTGCCTTATCTGTTTTCCCAACACTTTTGTTTGTTTCCTGTGGGCACAGTCTCAGTCCCACTATCAAATCAGGCTGTCTCAGAAGAAAATGGTTGTAATTCAGATTGTTTTTCTAAACAAAACAGAATTTGGCAGAGTATTAATGGCTTTTGTGCATGGAGGCTTTTTCCTTGCAGAGCTGAAAGCCCTTCTGCAGTCCTATGGGAAGCATCTATCAGCGGTGGTAACTGTGAACCCAAGGGGGGCAATAGGAAATGTCAACTTCTCACGGAAACCCGGCGTGCTCTGGTCTGCTGATTGTGTGTAGCCACGGCAGGTATTGGGAATGGGGCTGTGTTATTCTACTATGGCTATTCTTTGATTTTCAATCTTGTTATCAACTTTGGGGAAAAAACCCAAAGACCGTTTAGTTTTTTTCATCAGTTGTGTTGACCGGGTGGTGCTGAGGTGGCCAGTTCTCTGTCACGGTCAGCGCTGATGGAGAAAGCCAGCTGGGGACTCGCCTCGTCCCTGCCGGCTGAACTAAGGACCATGCCTGGAGAGCGATGCTCTTGTTCCAGCTGCGAACCCCATGATGTAAAGAGGAGGCTCCATTAATGCTTTAGGGCACCAAAGCAGAACCGGATGGGAAAGTGCTCCAGTCTGCATGGAAAAAATAATTGTGGCCCTAATCTGGGTTTGTAATACAACCTCACCGTGAGAATGAGCTCGGAGCCCCGAGGTGCTTATCACTATGTCCTCCAGAAGAGACGACTGTTGTATTGATCAGTGGTTGTATGCAACAAGATGCTTTGATGGCTGTCTGATGAATTTGTGTGTTCTGCCTGTGTCAGAGCCTTTTCTTGGGGTACAACAGAAAATGTTAATGGCTGGGTAAAGAGTAAGTGCTACAAGGGGTTGAGCAACAACTCTGCTTCTTTCGAAATCCTAGAAAAGATGAATGACTGAACAGGGTGAATCATCACCGACGTGGTTTTTCAGAGAAACAGCCAACGGCCCTTTGAGACTTGCTGAATAAGCAGTTGCTGCAATTTTTTTTTGGCTGTGCGTGAAGTGGCCTCTTCCTACTTCCCAAAATGCAGCCAGGGTCACACAACAGGAAAAGCCCCGTGTTGGTGGTGAATCTGGGTTTCCAGGTGTCCCTTTAATCGGTTTCTTTCACACAGTTTCCAAACACAATTACACTGGTTGAATTTCAATCAGCTCTGTGGATTTTTGTTACTATTTATGAGGATTTGGGCTTCTTGCTTTGCAGGAAAATATGTTAATTATAATTTCAAATGGTAAGAGAATATGGAGAGAGCATGTCAGGCTGACTTTCTGAAAAGAGACATGTTAATTCCAGGATAAGAGTTATGTGTTTTGGTTTGTGACATCTTGGATTTCTGTCATTTCCAGCCAAGCTGCTGGGACATGAAGTGTTTTAATCACTTTGGTTTTCATGCTTACTAGTCTTGAATTTCTTCTCAATGGTTCAAAATTGCTACAGATATTTGACAGCTGTTGGTGACAAAGGATATTTTAAGTGAATTTTAGAAACTGGAGTAGCATTTTTGCCTGAGCAGTGTTGTGCTTTGGAAGGAAACTTCAGTCAATAAGTTCTGAATTAGTTAAGGTTGAACACCCAAGGTAATACCGTCTGATAAGTGTTGCCCCCACCTCTTTTCTGGAATAGTCATAGTTCTTGATTTACACTGCTTACTTTTCATGGTGGTAGATGTTAAATGAGAATTTAATCCTATGGAGGGATTCTCTGATGTGCCCTGCTTTCTTTGTTTGCGTCCAGTGGTATATTGATGGCTTTCAGTGTACAAGCTTTTAATTTAATTTCATTTGAAAGAGGAGCAGTAGTTCTGGGTAGTACTGAAGGCGACTTCCAAAACCAGAAGATGCTTCATACCACCTGAAAGAAGTTGCTAATAAATGCCTGTAGTGGATTTTTAACTGTGAAGCTGGAGTTATAACAGTTAATGGATGAAACACTCAGTTAATTGAATTGTCTGCTTGGTATGGAGGTACATGCCAGGTAGAGTTGTTGTGACAGAATGGACAAATTTGGAATATAAACTCAAGGTCCTGGAAATGGCTTTGTTTATTTGCTGTTTCATGATTGTCCATTCATGACAGTTTGAAATGCAGCATAAATGTTAATATCTGAAAAAATTGTGCGTGATGCTCTGATCTGTCCTTTTTGTTTGTGGAAGGTTTTTCAGCAAAATTAGGTGGCGTTTGAAATCGAAAAATTATTCAGCACTTTAGTGACAATACATTTGAAAGTTTGTAGCAGGGTGAATGAAGTCATCTGAGCGGAGTGACAGCCGCCTCTCGTGATGCTGCACCGCGGGCAGTGACGGCTGGGTGCTCGTGCCTCGCTTGGCACAAAGAGCTTTGTGCACGTCCCAGCTGGGAAACGCTGCGAACCGCAGTTTGAGGTTGTATTTGTTTTAGGATTTCTGTTCTCACTTGGGATTTTGTAGCGGCAGGCGTGCGGTGCGACTGAGCGCGTTCAGTGCGGAGACCTGGGGGGACGGAGCGGTGCCTGGAGCTCCAGTGGAGGGTCCTGCCGCCCCGCCAGGCACAGCAGGGCAATGAGTGTGTGCCTGAGGGGTGCTGGGGACACGGCTCTCCTGCAGCATCCCGCTGACCCAGCTGCAAGGGAAGGGTGGAAGCGTAGGTACCTGTGCGGCTTCTTCCCCCTTTTCTGACTCTGGGAACTCTCCAGCTCTCGTCAGTGTCGGGAGTTGCATTTTCTCGGGCAGCACCTTACTTTCTGGCTCCCCATTTTCATGTTTTTCACTGTAAATTATGTGGCCATGGGCGTATCTGTATAGTAAGGCTTTAGAAAGAGCTGCATTTATAGAGCTTTCAGTGCATGCAAATAGTGAAGGAAGTGCCTGTTACTACACTGAGCCCAGGTTAATTTCCTTGCTAATTAAATAATGTCTAAATTTGAGATTACAGGCTTTCTAGGAAAAGGACTTGCCTTGTTTTTGATCTCTGAAATGTCAGAAGTGTTTTTAGAGCTGTTCTCAAGCAGAGTAGGGGGAAACAAAGTCATGGCTGCTGTGAAGTCCATCAGAGGAGGTGTACAAAATCCTCTGTGTTTATTCTTGAGTTAATGAGATAAATCTCAAATAATGATATTGCTGTATTGGCCAGGTTCTGGCCTGCAAAAGGTACAGAGGAGCTTGACATGAAGAGACTGAAAGGAACTGTGCTTTATAAATTGTAATGTAATAATTTATAATTGTAATTATAAGTGTAATTGTAGTGGGAGAAATATTAGTACTTAAAATCTAAAAGGGGTTCACTGAGATATAGATACATCTGCGTAGTTAATATATAAATAATTAACATGAAACATGTGTTAGAAATGAAGAATTATCATCATGAGAAACTGCTGTGTTCTGGTTACTCAAGCACACCCCAAAGCTTTGGTGGTAACCTTACTCAGAGGAAAACAATGAGAGGCTGGGCAGCTGTGGGTATTCGCTGGCATTTTATTCTGTTATGAGGGCAGCAGTAATTCCTGGGGGCTACTGGTTAGATATTGGAGGTGAGGAGAGGTTTCTCAGCTGCTGTTGGTAGAGATGTGTGGTCAGTATTCTCTTAGCATTTTTTGTTAACAAATGAAACTGTTCAAGTGCTTCACGGGTCTGCAGGCTCTTGGACCTCTCTGTGTTCTGCTCCGGGAAGCAGAGAGCGACAGCTCCAGCGATGGGTCTGAGCAAACCCAGCTCTGACCTTCACCTAGACGCTTATCTTCGTGATCTGCATTTTCTGTTTCTGAGTGTTTTCTAATTGAACGTATATGCAGAAGTACCTAATAACTTTCTTCAGCTCATTAGTTGTCATTTCTAATAACTTTTTCTTTTTATTAGGAATACATAATCCGTGTTCAGAGAGGAGTTTCAGCAGAAAACAGTTGGCAGGTAATTTCTTAAACCGTAGTTCGTGTAACCAGGATGCCTTTTTAGGAAGAATTTAAAAATTGTCTCTTCCTAGCTTTTTAAATTTGAGCTGGAGAGGGAAATGTTGGTTTGTAATTGAGAACATGAAGTGCTTGAATACTTTTGGTCAAAAACTAAGAGAAAAACAGTATTGCTGCCAGCTGAGAAGGCATGTTGTCAGCTGCTGTTGTGAGTATTGCAGGAACAACGCCTGCCATGTGTCACTACTGCGTGTTGGTCTGACCATCGTTTTCAAACCTCCAATGCCAGTTTGCCTTCCTTAGTGCTCAAATCACAGCCTTGCTGATCCATGACCAGCGAAACCTAGAAGCAGTCGTGAAGATGACTGTGAAAAGTTGTTGCATCTAATATGGCAAAAATGCTTTGTGTGCAGACAACTTGGCTCGCAATTTTTTTTTTTTAAGCTGTTTTAAGATAATGTTCAGAAATGCATTTTTGTTGTGGTCAAGATGTGATTAAAAACTCTTCTTTGCTCTCTGGCAGCACGGCATAAATGCAGCAGTTATACATTTGTACAAAAAAGGTTAAAAGAAGAATAAGATTATAAATGGGAATTACTTTAATGGAGTTTTGAAGAGTAAAATGCTAATGGGAGGAGTGATATGTTTCCTGAACTTTGTCTTTATATTTTGCAGATTGTGAGGCGATACAGTGACTTTGACTTGCTTAATAACAGCTTGCAGGTAACTTTTACCCTTGATATATAAATGTAAAATGTCATTTAGAAAGATACATTTTAAATGGCTTGTGATATTTATATATATATATTGCAGTGAAGAAAAAAAATACAAATTCACATAGCTGTAAAGAGAAACTGTGACTTCAAATGTAACTTGAATGTGTACTTTTTCCACTCTTATGTTTTCTCTTGCAAAATGTTAACGTTAGCATAAACAGGACCAATTTATATAGTAAAGGGAGGAAATTGGCAGATACTGAATCTTTCCGTTCAGCACTGCGACTTGTTCCGGTTTTATGTGTTATTATTTGTTCCTCCTTTGATTCGAAGAAAGCCAAGGCACATACCAACCTTATAAATTCAGCATTGACGTGCCATGTGTCTCATTATTTATACTCGTCTAAAAGCACTACCAGATGCTGCTTAGCATGTGATGGTTTTCTGTGTCACTGGAAAGCGTTCCTTAGTTAAACACTGGACTTACTGTGTGTTGGCTTTTGCTTTTTAGGACAATTATTTCTTTTAGTTTGTGTGGGAAATAGCAGGGTATATGAGCGTGTTTGGGAAAGGGGGGAAGCAGCAGTGGCTGGCATCTACAGGCGTGAAACCTGTTACTCAAGATTTCCATGGTACTATGCAGGCAAGATAAAAAGCGAACGCTTCTGCCATTTGAGGATAGATCTGTGTGACTTTGAAATGTTTTTCCCATCAAATGTGGGAATTCAGGAGGTTAATACTGCTTCCACTTCCCCCCCCCCTCCCCCCCATCAAATCAGCTATCTGCTTGGTGAACCTCAGTGAACAGAAACACTCAAGGATGTTGAATTGTGCATTCTGATCATCTGCTATAACTGATTCCTATGCTAGAAGGTGCATTGGGGGGCAAATTAGTCATCATTCAACAGACACAACATGGTTGCATTGTGGAATTATTTTATTGAATGCGCAGTAGCATGTAGGAACTTCGATCATGACCTAGAAACCTCTTGTGCTGAATAACTGCAGTAGAAAGATGTCTCCTACTCCAAAGAAATCCAGGTTAGATAAGCACCCATGGGAACACACGGAGATGAGATGGTGCTAGTCATCGCAGTACACAGTGGTCATTGTGGTCTTAACCATAGCCAGGTTTTGATGGAGATCACAGAGAAAGAATTTTAAGAAAGTTTTGAAAGAAGAAAGAGTTCGCTTTTGCAGCCACCTGTAACAAGCTCCTCTTAACCATGGGGGACAGAATGCATCAAGGCATGAAAAAGCTTTGTTGCTTTCTCATTTAACTTTGAAATGAGGCAGCTTTAGCAGGAAAGGCAATGGACCTTTTAGACCTCACCTTCAGAAATGGCAGGTACTGAAAGGTTAGGGCTAGGTAGAAGGTCTAGAAAGCGAAGGTAAAGAGGTGATGTGTGATTTGTGTCTGAGACAGAGGTGAAGGATGAAAGTGGAGGGTTCAGGAAATAATTTAACAGCAACTTGCAGAGCAGGACAAGGAGGAATTTGAAACGAGAGAGATTTTGCAGATCTAAGATACCAAGATCTGGAACAAAACGTCAGCTGCTTGAATGGTGAGAAAAGATCAAACAGAATCATCAAGCCCTACCTCTGACTTGGCCAGGAGGATATGCAGAGGACGGGGAAATTAACAGGCTGTGTTCGTTAGCACTTGGTCTCCTTCAGTGAGAACTGCTGCTCACCCCTTGATGTTCAAACCCCAGCTTTCCACAGTCTGGAAAGGCGATGTCTCTCTGCTGGGAGATGCCTTTCCTGGCTAGTGCAGAGAGCCACCCTGAGAGGTGTAACTGTTCGTGATGTGCCGAGCAGAAGGGCAGGAGGAGTTTCAAGCCTTTATCAAAGATGCACAACTCTGCTTTTGACAAACACCAGCGCTCCTCCAGCCTCGGTCCCTATGCCAGGGCTTGAGAGGCAGCAGACAGTAGCTGGCGAGAAGCATGCTAAAATTGCTCTTTTTCTCCCGCTGTTGTGGAGTTTTTTATAAATTGCTCTTTGTGATGCTGGAGCTGAAGTTTTCTGATCCATTAAGACACACGACGCTCCTCAGTTCCTTCCATCCAGAACTCTAAGCAACAATATTTAATCAGAATATTCAGGTCGCCTGATTAGTTTTTAAAGTCTTTAAGCTCTTGTCTTATGTATATTGAAATTAAACAATCAAATAAACAAAAATCCAAACAAAACAAGCCCACAAACCAGTATAAAGCCATGAGCAATAAGAAAATGCCAAACCCCAGTCTCCTTCCTGAAAAACTACAATGTTGCTGGCAAAACTGCTGGATTTTCTTCTGGGTGTAAAGCCCCAAGTTCTTGCCTTACAGAGGTAGGTTTGGGGGGTTGTGTGTGAACACATCACTGCCATTCATTTGGAGTGCAGCTTTTCCGCTGTTAATCTGGTGTTACCTGTGCAGTAAGCGGAAGGACTGAGAATTTCCAAACCGCCTACACTAGGGGATGCAGTCCTACCAAACACCTCAGAAATAACGAGAGGCGTGTGCCTGTGACCCTGGTCTGCATCAGGAAGTTTCAGGCGAGATTCCCTGAACTCTCAGGTGTGTACTGGGCTGAAAAGCTCCTTCCAGACCGTCCTGCATTTCTTCCATGTCACTTACTCGACAGAGATACATGGAGATCACTGGCTGCTCTTCTGTTAAGTGAACCGCTGGTACAGCAAGGTATCTGGCTTTTGTGAAGCATTTTATTGCAGCTTTCAAGCAGACATTCCTGAGCAGGCTGTGATTTGAAGATAAGAGTGTTAATGCCCAGGTTCTCCTGCGGGAAAGCTCATCCTGGCTCTGGTGTGAGCTGGGGCCACCGAGAAGCGCTGCTGGTGTTTGAAAGCACACGAGGTCTGTCCCGGGTCAGGCAGGGTTCTCCCTGGGCTGTGTGTTTTGGCAGAGGGCTACAAAAACCTGGGTGGAATGTTGCTTTCTGCTGAAAAAAACAGCAGATGTGGTGTTTATTAAATAAATTTTAAAACAAATAATAGGGGGCCGAAAACATCTGAACTAGAATCCTTTTCTCTCTGATGGTAGCTAGCTCTCAGGTCAGCGAGGCAAAGGCGATGATGATCTGACATGCTTTTCAATATAGTAGTACCAGAAATTGATTTAGTTTTTGTTTAGGAACTTGTTTTTGAATTGAAGTAAGAGTGGTCTGCCCAGTGAAAATTTTAGATGCCTCAGGTGGTACAGCCAGAAATTCACCAAATTAGTTTTAAGTGACATATTGTTGCTTTTGGGTTCTTGGATATATTTTTTTCCCCCCTTGTGTATAAAAGAGCATGACATAATGCTCAGGGGATAGGATGATTTTTATTAACATCTTCTGTAATTCAGATGTAGTTAAAGAGCTTTTTCAGCCCATGATTTGCAGTCAGAAGGAGAAATGCTGAGTTTGGGGGGGGGACACAACTCCTGTGTTCAAAAGAAGGAGGAAAAAAGGGCAATTGGTAATTCTGCCCCAGTTTGTTGAACCAATCCTTTCCTTTTCCCACTGGTTAAAATGGAAGTTGTTCCAACACCAGAAGTCACTGTCTTCTCCCTAGCGAACTGTTTGCTTTAGGAATGAGGTTATTGCATCTGGTGTAACTGATTCCTGCAACACACATTTCTTGAAGCTAACTCCCGTGGAGATTCAGCATACCCAGGGCAGGTGCTTTGATCTGCAGGACGACGAAGTGTTAACATGAAAAATTAATTCTGGCAATTCACATGACCTGATTGAATATAAACACTGTGTGCAACCTAGTTTTGTTTTCTAAAGATGATCTCTTTGATCTGGCTTACATAAGGCTTTGAATTTCTGTACTTCTTTCATCATCCTTTTTCAAAGTATTACTCTGATTTTTTCTGAAGTTTTGGATCACTTGTCAACATAAAACAACTGCTGTACATCCGCTGGTAGATTGCACCTACTTCTGGGTTGAAAGATGTATAGCTGCTTGAAAACTCTACAGCAATAAATTCAGAAGAGAAAATGGAAACACTGCACTGTATTTGAAATTACAGATTTAAAATACTGACAGTAAGAGCTTTAAATTACCTGTAAAGGCAGTAGAGGCAAAGGAAAGTTATTAATCTGCACTTCGTGAAACAAGAAAGCATAGATCTTATCCAGAGAAGCCGGTGAGGTGTGAATTGTTTTGGTGCTGTGGTGGAGGTATGTCACAGAAAGGGTTGGGCTGAAGGCTGCAGGCATTTAGAATCTGAAAGTTTTGTGTAGTGATCTTAAATGTGACTTATTAGCAAAAATTTATCTCCTCGCATTTTCAGTGTCGTTCCACTTACTGATCTCTTCACAGTGGGATGCGAGCTGTCTGACCGCCTTACCACTTAGAAAAACCAGGAAAGCTTGTGTGTACCCAGGACAGAAGGGGTTACCCTGTAGTTAGCCTGCTGCTGAGAGTCTTTTGCTTTCTGGGTTGCTAGCTTATATCCCTGAGGCTTTTCAAGAGCAAGTTTAGTAATTTTTCCTCTCTTTTTAAGATCTCAACTCTAAGTCTACCTCTTCCTCCAAAAAAATTGATTGGAAACATGGAGCGTGAGTTCATAGCTGAAAGGCAGAAGGGACTCCAGGCGTACCTCGATGTGATTACCACCCATCACATACTGTCTAACTGCGAACTGGTAAAAAAATTCTTGGACCCAAACAGCTATTCTGTAAACTACACTGGTAAGTGGGGAATTGCCAAACTGCATTAGTTTCACTTCAGCATGTGGTCCTGTCTTCCGTTGGTGCTGGCAGGGATTTACACTGAAGCGTGGGGGGTGGATGGGGGGACAACCTTCAAAATTATCACACTGTGCATGCTAGTATTTATTATAATGCTTCTCCAGCTCTGTGCATGAACCATGCTGTGGTTGTCAAATTGAAATATTTGAATTATTTTACAGAAGAGTGATGAGGGTCAACATCTGTAAAAGCAGGATTTGGGGGAGGGGGCTCGGTGAGAGCAACATCTATTTTTTCCCAGTTTGTGATAAATGGGGAGGGTTGGGGTTTGAAAATTATTTGTCTACCAGACTGTAAGGTGGAGTTAAGTTTGTCAGCTCTGCTTACTGTTAAAACAGCTGGTCTTCTGAACGCTGAATCTTGCATTCATCATGGTTCTGAGGTTTTCAAATCAACAGGAACGATTGTGGTCATCTTGTCTAGCTCCCACGATCACTTTGGGTTGTGAGACTTCCCAGAACTAATTGTTTGAGATAGGTTGTGTACTTTTTCAAGGCTTGAGTAAGTCACACATACTCTTCCCCAAATACTGGGAATTCACTGCATCCCTTAAAATGATATCCCAGAGATCAGTTATCTTAATTATTAAATGTTTCTTCTTTGAATTTGTCTGACTTCAGCTTCGGCCATTGGAAATCGTTAAATAATTGTCTTACAGACTGAAAAAAACTTCCTCTTAGTGAAGAAACCCACTCCACAGATTTAGTTCATGGGCAGACTGCCTCTTTGCAAAATGCAAAGCTTGTTTTCATAAACGCAGAGCCTACTGAAGCAGGAACTTACAGTTTCCTTTTCACTTGTCTTTTTGCTCTCCCTTTATGTAACATTCCTGTGCCTTCAGCTTCGAAGTGCAAAGAACATTTCCTGGATGTTTATGATAAGCTGTGGAGGAGCTGTAAATTATTAGTAACTCTTTAAGGATGCAGTGTGTCTGGCTAATGCTGAGCAAGCAATTAAAATCCTCGAGGAGCCACTGTGACTTCTGTGTTCATTCTGAGCACTTTCATCAAAATCATTTTTTTTTCAGCGAGTTGCAGGGAAGTTAGTAGCAGTCAAGTCATTCCCTGTCAGCTTTGTAGACACCATCAGTTTGCAATTTTTTAAATAGTGAGCTGATATTTATCGCGCTGTTCTCTCTCTTTTTCCTAGCCCATTTTAGAGAGAGAAGATACAGTGCAGAAGGATCAGTGCATCCTTACCTTTTTGCTGTGTTTCTGTGCCAAGATAAGCCACGTTGGAGAAAAATCCTTGTTGGCATGATTCTCCTTCTCCCCCTCCTGTCACCATTTCTCATTGAGATTTTCCCCTCAAATCGCTTCATGAATAAGCCAGTTGTGTTCCCAGCTGTGGGAGAATTCAGTAACCAGAAGGGCGACCTTCCCCCCCGCCCCCTCAGAGATGTGTGTTGGACCATAATCACTGACAAATACCTTTGGCTGCACAGAAAAGGACAGAATAACACACAGTGAAACTGAGCTGGTTACATGTAGAAATGGCAATGGAGATGCACAGTAAAGAGATTTGAAAGTCAGCACTTTTACAGGTATAGCAGAAACATCCCATGATCTAAGGTAGTGTGGGAAATCTTAGCTGTGAGTGTTGGATTTGAACTTGGAAATGTAGATTGAAGGCAGTTCTTTCTCCATTTTCTCTGTGGATTTGAGCTCTCAGGTTAAAAATGCAAATACCCTTTAACTGTGTTTTTATCTGATTTCCTTTTAAAGTGATTTTGCTGACTTTCAGTCTGAATTCCTGCAGGCTTCCTTCTGGCACTGACTGTTACCTAACGTGTGGGCAGTAATCTTAAATAGTCTCTTAAAACCTTTTTTCTTTCCAGAAGTTGCCTTACAGCATGTTTCAATGATCAGAGCCAAAGTGGGAGGTGGTAGAACCATTAAAAGATATAGGTAAGAAGAGCATGGATGCATGAAAACTTGTCTGATTATTTTTTTTTCCACCTATACAAGTTCTCCTAAGATTACATATCTTTGCTTACAGACCTGGTCTTGCCTGTAAGCTGTGTGATTTGACAGTGTTTAATTAAAGCTGCTGATGACTTTTTTTTTTATAGGTTGGCGAATACGTAAGAAATATTTCTTAATGAAGATTAAGAACCAACCAAAGGAACGGCTCGTGTTGAGCTGGGTATGTAGACTTTCATCTCGTGCTCAAATCTTTCTTAGCAAATCTGGCTTATTTCATTTATATTGACCCATGCATGAGTGACAGAGAGAGAGACTTAGGAGCTCAGGCTTTAGAAGAGCCTTGGAAGCCCTTAGGTGGATGTGTGGTGGGGGAACTCCTTGTGTTTCTTTCTCCTGGTGGCAAATCCAGTTTGCAAGTTTCTGTGCCTGGTGGTTTGTACCCATTCCTGCACCTCGGGTCACTTCAGTTGTAATGATGTAGCTGTTGACCGTAGTGCAAATTTGCTCACTGAAAATAACAAGGTGATCCTGTTTAAAGTGGTGGGTTTTCCTACTGGGATCTTCATTGGACTGACAAACTAACAGGTGAGAGAGGCGTGAATTGCTCCTTTAAGGCAGACATGTATCGACACCAAATGCTGTGTTGTTATTAAACGCTTGCTTGTGCTCCTGCGCTGAAATCTGCTGCTCTCTTAATTCTATCAGCAGAGCTGTTTGTGAGACTTCATGGAAGGCGGATATCACTAAAGCCTGCAGTGGGAGGGAAGGTTTTTTTGCTGGAGAGGAAGAAGGTGGAGGTTTAAGCCTTATCAGTTGACAATGCACACAGTCCCCAAGGCTGGGGGTGGCAGAGTTCATTCAGCAGTAGTAATGCACGTCAGATACGGGGGAGGAAGGAGGCAGTAATACTTATTTACACTGTGAAACCATGGCCTTATTCAGCTTCTTCAGGTTTCATTCTGTATGTGTAATTTCCTTGCTTGCTCTTCAAAATACACCTTCAACAGCTGTCTTCATTTGTGAGAGCAGAATACAGATCACATTTTCTTTATGGAATGCAACATCTCTTATGATGCCATTCTTTTCCTATTTATTTCCAGGCTGATCTTGGCCCTGATAAATACTTGTCTGACAAAGACTTACAGTATGCTGTGAAACTTCTTTCTTCCTGTTCTGTGAGTATTACTTGAAGACTTTTAAATTGTGTCAGCACAAAAGTGCTTGTCAAGGACTGATCTTGCAAAAGCGCATGTAGCCTAGTAGACATAGTTTGTAATTTTAGGGTTGCTTTCATTTAAAGATGTGCAAACCTTCTAATTGCATTTCCCACACAATATGAATATCATGTTCTCGGCACAAATAATAATCCTGCAGGATTATTACAGGAGATGGAGAGTTGTGGTTAATTGTATTTTTTTCTTGTGCAGCACTGTGAGATCACAAGCTTTTATTGCAGCTCCTCGACACTTTCAGGCTGCTAGGATAGTGCTGTCTAGGTGGAATTGCTAACCCTTGTGCTGGGGATATTCTCAGCCAGCAGTGGATAAGGCAGTGCAATGAGTGTTGTTATTTTTTAAATTTTTTGAATTTAAGACAGGAATATTTGAGTAGAGGTACAGCGGAGGCTGTGCAATTTAAACTCCTGTGCAGTGCCACATTAAAAATCCAGTAGGCATCTCTGTCTGAAACAACTGGCATTTGACTCCAGAAGGAGTTTCTCTTTAAGGATGTTAAGGATGTGAGAGACTGGCTGAAGAGGATGGTATTTAAACCTGTAAACCTCTGTGCCATCTTGGAACTCAGCAGATGCACGCAACAGAAGGGGCTGAGAATGAGGCTTTTCAACCCCCAAACCAGACTGAAACCCATGTATTGAAACAGGATGTGAAGAAGGGATTTTTTTTCCTAACTTGCAATTTCAATTAAAGGATGTGTTGCATGGGTAATTTATTTCCAACTGTGCTGTCTCATTGGGTTTCACAAAGTTGCAGAAAGTCGTTCTGATAATTTCTGAAGACATAAAACTGTTAGGACAGCTATTAATGCTGAGTTTCCTTATGTGCCATAGCTGTAGAAAGCCATGAATGAATTCATTAGCTCAGCATGACTTAAACCTGCAGTAAAGCTGCTCATGTTTAAGTATTAATGGGGCTGGATTCTTAGTTTGTCTAAACTGCCAGACGTGTTCTGTTAAAAAGAGACGGTGATTTTTGAAAAATAATGTATGTGGAAATTGAACAATGTCCTTGTGAAGTTTTCTTTGCATTTACTCCAGGTTAAGGCTGAATAACTTGAGCAAATGTCACTGACAGAATGCAATTTGTTACTTTAAACATACAATTTGGGCAGATGTTTTCTTACTTGTGAATTGAGCAAAAAGGAATTACAAAATCTGGCATCCAAAACTTACCTACAGTTTCTTCTTTTGTTAGCATCCCTTTATTTACAAAATCACTTTTGCTACTGCCAATGAATCTTCAGCGCTGGTTATTAGACCGTTCAGTGAAAAAGGGACACTAAAGGACCTTATTTATAAGGTAATGTCTCCCTCCTGCCACCTCCAATTCGGAATGTTTGCTGGAATGACCATAGTCTGCCTGTTACAATACTGTTTACCATCTCTTGCTAACCAAACTAGGACAATTACTGGCTTTTCTGGGCATGATGCTCGATATGTGTGTTTCTCTTAAAGGCAAAGCCAAAAGACCCATTCCTGAAGAAGTATTGCAATCCTAAAAAAATTCAAGGTCTTGAACTTCATCAAATAAAAACATACGGAAGGCAAATATTAGAGGTAAATAGTTTTGCTTTATTTACCAGCCTTTGGGATTTTTTTTTTTTTGAGGCCAACTGGTTTAACTAAAAAAAGCAGACAAACTAAAGCACACAAGCTTTATTTTGGCAGCAGACTTCAAAGCTAAATGTCAAGTGAGATTAGCTGCTGGGAGTTGAATTTAGATAGGTATGTGTGAGGCCATTTCTGACCAAAAAAAACCCCAAAAGGCAGGTGGTATGTGTAGAGCTGGGGTGAAGAGAGGTTATAATGTAGTTTTTTCCTTACAGGAAAAGGGAAAGAAGTAATTCATAGCCTGCAGAACATGTGCCATAAATTCATTATAATTAATGTGGGGTTTTAAAAATTTTTATTCAAACTATAATATTCAGTAGAATTGTGAATTTTAGTTTCTAGATCTCTTTGGGAGATGTCTGTAGGCCTGCTCTGAGGATCAGTGTCAAATGTTTGTTTTGTGAAATGGAAATGAATAGTCAGCCAGAGACCATGTAGATAGAAGATCAAGTCAAACAAGCATTCCAAGCAGGGGCCTCATTGATTATGTATCTGCTTTAGTATTGGAGCATTTAAGATCTCGAGATCATCAGAGCATCTTGTGACAAGTGCTCCTGGCTTGGATTTTTTTCAGGTATTAAAATTCTTGCATGAGAAAGGATTTCCTTATGGCCACCTTCACTCTGCCAATGTGATGTTGGATGGGGACACCTGCAAGCTACTGGATCTAGAAAATTCCTTGTTGGGACTTCCATCATTTTATCGATCATACTTTTCACAGTTTCGGAAAATTAATGTAAGATTCAGACAATTAATTCAGCTGTCTCTTATGCATCCCTTTATCCTCAACTTCTGTTTGTGGAGAACTGACTAGAATGAAAAAAAAAAATAAAATCTGTCAACCTCCTTTTTTTAATCCGAGCTTTTCTCCATCAAATCCCCTTTCTGCTTCCTCCAAATCACTGTCTGGCTGCACCGGAGTTTTGTTGCAGCACACTGGAGTGAGGCTGAGGCCAAAGGGAAGCAGGTAGAAGGGGAGTGCAGGGGAGTGTTTTCACAGCAGGCACAAGTGGCACAAAGACAGGTGAACTGCAGCTGTTTTAACATCTCTTTCCACCCTGTTCCTGAGCAGTAATCAGCCCTGGCTTCGGTGGATACTGTGAAAATTGCTTAGATGCTTGCAGATGTCTTAGCTATTAAAAGCTGTTTTTTATTTATTTGAAGGATGTCTCTTAATTGCAAGCTTGCACAGCAAAATATTATCTTCCTACAAAAATAGGAAAACAAATTTGCCCTGTGGTAGGAATAGTCTTTTAGCCAGCATCTTGTCCTGCCTTTAAGTGCTCATTGTAATAAATTCCGTACAGCATCACGAGACAGCTGCTTGCTGACCTTGCCAAACAAGTTCTACTATGTTGTCAAAGAAACGATCAAAAGTTCACGGTTAGTCCAAATCTGTTAGTGCCATCAAAGCTCTAAGCCTCCTCCAGTGAGAGGAGCCATTTCTGTTTAAACATGATTCAAAAATCTCAGAAATATGCTGTCTGGGAGCTTAGCATGTGTGTACAGCTTGTACAAACCTCAGGAGGGGTGAAAGAACCTCTCCTAGTTCTGTCTGGTATTTATTTTTGCTGTTTTTCTTTAATGGGTTCTGGCATGGTTTCAAACTAGTTGTGAAAAACAGATTAGTTCTAGCAAGTTGTGTTCATGTTTTTTTGTTCCCCTGCAGACGTTAGAAGGTGTTGATGTACATTGCTTTGGGCACTTACTGTATGAAATGACATATGGAAGACCCCCAGATACGATTCCAGTAGAGAGCTTCCCTCCTGCACCATCAGTGTTTGTTGGTTAGTATACAAGCGAAAAAATGTCAGTCTTACCTTTTACCTAAGCTGAAGTGCTGTGAAATAGCAGATATTTGCAGCCTGTGACCGCAAAGAATTATTTAGTAATTTTTTAAAAAACAGAAAATGTGTTCTTCCTGAAATATATGTAGCATATTTTTTTTTTTCTTTTACTGAGTGATAAAACACCATGTAGTAAGTAATTAGACGGCTGGATTCCCTCGCTCATGTCTAACATTCTTGAGAAGTTTGTATGTGTAATAGTAACACTGTAATAAAAACCACATGCCACGGAGCTTGCTCACTGCTTAGCTGATGCAGTACTTCGGGGAACATCACACAGCAGTGCCAGACATTAATTCTAAATCATTTGCTATCCTGCAGTGCAAAAATGTGTTCATTCTTATTCTTTCTTTGGTAGTGTCTGTGTTGGAATCCATTCTGACCTGTGAAGCTATGAAGAATGGCATGCCAACTGTTTCACGGCTCTTACAGATGCCGTAAGTCTTGTTTTATACTCATGGCAATGTTTTACATTATATTAGGAGGAAGAACCATTTTGCTCTTGTTCCTTTGCTCCTCATTCTGAGGGATGTATAGAGTATCCCAAATGAAGCCTTAAAATTGATAGGCTTTATCGAATCCAGCACTTTTGAGTACAATGGATGCTCATTTAGCATTTCCTTGTCTCTTGGTGTGCTGGAGCTGTCATTAATACATTTTATTTATCATGGTGCTACGGTTTAAATTGATCGAGCTATAAAAGTAGTGCAAGCGTGACTGAGATCATACGCAGATTGTTTTAAAGCATTTAGAATGAGACTTTTTGCATGTCCCCTTCAGACCTACTTCAGTAGATTTTGCTAGCAGTTGACTTATGACTAGCAGAACAGATCTCTTGCTTTGCTCTGCGGTGACATTTAGACTGGGTCTGGGCATGAAATGTTATGTAGAAGTTCTGGCTGGTTTCTTGCAGGGCTGACTTAGGGATTTTCTGAAGCACAGACAGAATATATTTCCTTACAGGCTGTCCTCCCAGTGATGCAGTGAAGTGGTAAAGGCAGGTGCAGAGCCAGACGAGGATGCAGAGAGGGAGCAATGTCATTGACTGAGCTGGAGATCATACCGGTCTGCAGTGCCACCCTTCCTGCAATTAGAGACTATTACCAGGGAAATTGTCTGCTGTCACTGTGCTGCGACATATCATCAGCATCCTGAGTGTAGAATCACACAAAAGGGGGTTCTTTAGTTTTTTTTCTTAATAGGAGGTGCTATGACCTTATACATGACAGATTGCCCACACCTAAACCTGGGTCTGACCTCACAGCACAGAGACTGCGGTACGGTTAAACTGCTCCAAGATGCGTGTTTCCTGGTTGGGAAAAGCCACTGTGGGCTTGTCTCAGCCTTCAATTCCTTCTACTCCTCCCTTCTTCTGCTCTTAAAGGAGGTGGGAGGCAGAGAGAAGAATGTGAGCAGGGGAGAAATCCTGTAAGAAACTCTGAACACAGGAGTGTACGGGTGTTACAAGCTGTTGGACAAACGATCCGTGCCCAGCTGTAGCTGTGTGTAGGATATTACAGCGCATTCCCTTCGTACCAGTACTCTTCACAAAAGTGTTCCACGTAGATGTGCAATGCAATTAATGTAATTTAAAGCAATTAATGTAATTTAAAAATTTATTAAGCTTTATTATTTATTATAACCATACAAACTATGAGTTTGCAAGGACATGTCATCAGAAAGGGTCAGAAGAATGCCCTGTAAACAAGGGTGACCTTTCCTGGGTTTTTCTTAAAATTTGCTTTATTTCTGATTTATTCATGGAATACTATTCTTACAAACTTGATTCTAGACTTGAGTTTGTTTTCTCCAATGTAGACCTGTGATCATTTTCCATAGTGAACAGCAACAAAAGATCTCTGAAATATTTATCTCAGAGCCAGGCTTGAGATCTGTTTCTGGGACAGTTTTCTAGGATGTTCTCCAGAACAAAATATCTTGAAATGGGCTAATCAGTTTATTTTCAGGCTGCCATTGCCCTCTAGTGTCTTCATTTTGGATGGAAAGTGATTAATCATCTATGCTGTTGCTGCTGATACCATAGAGGGGAGAGCGAAAATGTTAGAATATTTGGTTGAGTTGCCTGTGCCAGAGTACAGACAAGAATGCAGGTATCTCCAAATGTTAAATCCACTCACTGATCTTTCCCATGGTTCTTGTTAATGCTAAAACAGCAGTTGTGCTAAGAGAGTTTTCTTAAAAAAGAGCAATAATTTTGTTTAGGTGAAATGTAAATTAAAGCCATTGGTAATCTTTTGTCATTAAAGAATCCATATACCTTTAAGGAAAATATGTTATTTTTTGGGGGAAACCCTTCTCTGCCGTTGATAATTGTACCTGTTCTATCAGCTTTCAGAGGACGTCACACAGTCTTACTCTGCCATCAGTAGTGGCTACATTCGGAGGGTTGGATGCTGCTAATTTTACATCAGTGCTTGGAAAATAAAAAGCAGTACGTAAAAACCTGTGGAAAAAAATCAAGAGTGGCCTAGGGATGAGGAGAGAGAGAAGGAAAAGGAGAAAGAGGGAGTTAACGGTGCCAGTAGCATTCTTCTGTGGTTCTGCCTGTCTCTCAGGAGTAATATTCCTTTTTTTTTTTTCTTTTTTTAATCCACTCACAGATTATTCAGTGATGTCCTGCTAACAAACTCTGAGAAACCACAGTTTAAGGTAGAGTGGCATATTGATTTGCTGATGTTTGGGGAAGTGCCAGGCTGTGGGGAGCTATGTATTAATTGACAGACGGGGGAGAGGAGAGCTGCCTTTACTTGGCTCTATGGCGATTGCCCTCAGTATTTAGATTCCTTTGCTGAATTGTACCCGAGGACGTTGTATCGCCCCTTAGCAGGGAGGCACGGTGTGAGCAGAGGCTGCTGAGCAATGTGGGTCCCTTGCAGCGAGAGGAAACAAATTGCTAAGACCTGTGGAAGCTGATGTTGCTAGGTGAGGCCATCAGGATGTTGTTGGCGGCTCCGGCGCTGCACTGCTGGGAATTTTGGGGAGCTGCATCTGCTCCCACGGGGGAGCTGCCCCAGAGCACTTCTCCTGGAGGGCACGTGCTGTGTGTCTCCTGGTGTCAGCCTCGCGGTGCTTTGGGGATGTGACCCGAGTATCCCTGCCATTACAGCATCCCTTCCATTATTCGGTGTTCCTTTGTCTCTACTATTAGATCCGTAGCTAGGTTTGGAGTGGAAAACATTCATCTAGAGTCTTCTTTTCTCCTTCAGTAAGGGAATAGTGTCAGAATTTGGGGCTTTAGGTGGGCAGCATGATCAGATGAATGGTGGGTTTTGAGCAGCCAAGTTATGTTTTCCTTTATCATGTTTTGTGTTATGATTTTTTCCCCCATTCTGTATTAGATTCCTACTAAACTAAAAGAGTCATTGAAAACCTCCAAGGAATGCATAGAAAAACGATTAACAGAAGAACAGAAATTGGTAACGTCTGCATTTCTTTACTGTATTTCCTACAGACATTCCATTTCCTCTTCCCACTTTCACATGGGGAAAGTGAGCTTTTACTCACTCAGAGTGATTTTGAGTAATAAAGGCTTTCATGAACAGATTTGCTTTCCCCAAAATGCAGTATGAGGAGTTGTAGAACAGCTGTTGACTGGATGGCATTTCACTGTTTTACGTGGTGCAGCTCCACAGGCAGCGGCTCCTCAGTTAAAGGATCCTTTTAGCTGTGGTATGAGGCTCCATCCTCCACCAGCAAAATCAAAAACTAAAAAAAGAAAACTAAACATATGAAGTGACTACAGTGTGTTTTCTTGCACCTCAAACATATGCCTTATTTGAGAACATTTAAGATCTTAATATGGTCTCTTTTTGGTTTTTCTTCATTTTGAAGATTCACCAGCACAGAAGGCTGACAAGGGCTCAATCGCATCATGGCTCTGAGGAAGAAAAAAAGAAAAGGAAGATCTTAGCACGAAAAGTAAGCAATCTTTAAATAGGTTTCTCGCACAGAAAAAAAACTTGTATCTTTTTTGAATGTGTAGCATGCAGTACCCCAGGCATGCTGCTCTGTTCTGTGCCTGTTTTCTGTACTGCTTCCTGACCGTTTTCACTTCTGTCGCTCAGCAATACACTTCCCAAGAACTTGAAGTTACAGTGGTGGCTGGTTTGCGTGTTGGTGTAACCTGGTTGAGGCTGCTGTATGGAAACAGGCTCAGTTAGCATCTCATACCCCCGTGGCAGCCCGTGCTGCTTCCTGCTGCCCTGGGGGGTATCGGAGCCTTTTTCTGTCTGCTCCTGCAGCACGCTCTCTGCACCCCCCAACAGGGGCTCAGAGGCAAAAGAGGAATTTTGGGTGGCTCTGTTTGCTGCCTTTGCCTTGCGGACAGAGGACACTGGAGTTGCCCTGGTTGCTTGCCCGGGATGTCTGAGCGCTGAGCAGCCTTGCTGCTGCCAGCATCGTGGCAGCACTGGGCTTGGGGAGGGGATGTGGGGCACTGATAACCCTTGTGTGATGCAGTGGGTGGCTGTTACAGACCTGCGTGTCCGTTCAGTCGTTATCGCCGAAAGCAGTTATTCACTCTCACCTTCTGTTTCTTCTGCTTTGTTTAAAGAAGTCAAAACGCTCTGCCTACGAAAGCGGGGAAGAACACTCAGCAAAGTACAGCAACTCAAATAACTCAGGTAACTACAGAGAGAGCAGCTTCTTTCTACACAGCTTTCTGAAGGTTTTTGTTGTTGCTGGCATTTTCTGGCTTAAAAGATCCAGGGTCACCATCAGTTTACAGATTAATAGTGGTCTACCAAAGCCTGATACCACTGTTCTGGGTATTTAATAGTAGAGAAACTGAGGGCTTGAGAATATATCAGCGTTAGATTTTCAGCTGCCTAATACAAAGCAATGTGTCCTCTCTTCTGTGCCCTATTCCTCAAAAAAAAAAAAAAAAAAAATCAGTCTCTTCAGTGTTTGACATTTGAGTGGAATAATAATGACACCCATTATTTGGGCCATTTATTAACGCAGACTTCAGGGAGAAACTCTGGTGATCTGTATTCTGTAGTAAGATGTTAAGATGAATGAAAAAATTATCTGTTTAGTTGCTGCTTCAGTGCCAAATTCTAAAACAATGGAGCCTTTGACAGATCTTCATCTAGTTAAAAGGAGCAGTCAGTACTACCAAACAGTTTGACAGAGGTGACTTGCCTTCCTAAAATGTGCCCCAAAGCAGCTGCTTGTGGAATAGTCAGATCTCAGAGTAACTTGTGGAGTATGGCAACTGATGAAAATCATCTCTTAGAAGGAGAAATGGGGTGCCATCCGTGCAGCGGCACAACTCTTAAGGAGAACAGAATTTGGATGCTGAAATCCCAACAGCCTAAGCAACAGAAAAGAAGTGTTTCCCATTGAGGAATACTGTTGAGTGCGCTGCTTATGTGTTTGGACCTCCTCTGAGACTGTATAAAGCCTCTCTGTTCAGATCGGGTCTGAGGGACACTGTTTGTATGGATGGGAGTCTTTCCCAAGATTTCAGTGGAAGCAGGATTGGATCTTCAGTCAATAAAGTTGGCCTGTTTCCACCAATCTGTCTTGTCTGACTGTGTTGAATTGTAATGTCACAGCTTTAGTTACCAGACTGTTGTTTTATTTAGCAGGCTCTGGGGCGAGTTCCCCATTAACATCTCCATCATCCCCCACTCCGCCCTCCACAGCAGGTAAGTTCAAGAGTCATTACAACGCTTGTCTTTTTCTTTGTTTTTTATTTTCCCTGCCTCAACTGTGGGTGTTATTCCCAGGATAGTTAAGTGATGGTGGTTTTCAAGGATGGAACACATTTATCTTGTGTCAGCGTGCACGTGGGCATGTGCTCTCTTTTGAGGGCCATAGAGAACCTTTACTACTGTTCTTTTTCATTTAACAACCTTTCTTGAGTTGTACATTATATGATTTACCCAGAGTATAAGTACTTGCTTCAAAGTCTCTATTACTCCAATCCTACTCACATTGCAACTTTCCAGACATTTCCTGGGCCTCATGTTTCAGAACACATTTGTTCAGAATACATTTATTCTGGTGTTCGTGGTCTGTAGACTCTGCAATACTGTTGGTTGATCCCTTGTTTCTGTGTATTGTCTCCTTACACCTGTACTGCTGTGATGGAATTTCAGGAATTGTGGGTGTGACAAATTCAGCGGCTTGGGCTGCATAAATCTCCCCTGTTCTGCTACAGCCCATTGGTAACACCGGGAGAACTGGTAGAGACAAGTCAGAGACTGATTTAGGTTAAAAATAATATCTTTATTATTTTTGGCCAGTTCTGTTTCCCAGTTTGCTGGGTAGCGGTGCAAACAGTTTTGCTAATGTTAGGACAGGTGGTAGGAAGTGGTGAAGAACGAGCTTGAGTGGGCAATAGAAATGCTCACAAAAGTTCGAGTACAAATCTGAATATTGAGTGATAGTGGATGTGCTTCAGTCTGAGAGGCTGGATGAGGAGCACCGGCAAACCTTAAAAGCAAAAGGTGTTAGTGGAATACATTTCTAGAAGGGACGCAGTCTATAGCATTGCCATTTATTATCATGACTCAGGCCATATGATTTCTACTCCCAGGAACTTTCTACAACAGCACAACTTGTTCACTAAAGCAGTGCAATCAAATTTTGTGTTTGCTGGGGATGGTTTTTCAAAGGACACTGCAGTCTCTGTGTTGTAATTCATGCTGAAATGCAAATCAGTCATTATTCCTTCAAGTTGAGGGTATGCCGAAGTGTAGATTTTATGGACTAACTTCTCCCAGTTCGTCTAAACAAGATAATTGCTGTTATTGTGTTGCACAATAACAGAGCTGTTCTCTGGATGCCCTGGCTCTTCGCTGGAAGGTTTATTTCCAAGTTCCGTATGCTTTAATAAGGAAATAGCTGAAAATGCAAAAGAAAACCTTATGCCTCCAAAACGGACAGATGTTTAGAAAACACATTGTTTTTTCTGCAATAAAACTGCCTTTTACTTACGTTTTAACTTGAACCTGTTGGAACTTGGTTGAAAGCTTTTTCAAGTTTTGAGCATGTGATGCAGGTTTATGTTGTGGCTCAGATGGCTGAGCACGGCTCACGTCTGGGCTCAAAACTCGGCTCTGTGGTTCAAACCGCCTTGTCCCAGCATGTCGGTCATCCTGCTGCCAGTGTGTGATGGTGACTGGTGGTGTCCAGCCCTGTCTGACCGGGTGCACTGGCCAGACCTGTGTTCAAATCGGAAGGTGCTTTAGTGTGCTGATGGCTTTCATGCATTTGGTTGGGTGTAAAGGCAAGTGTCACCATTTCAGGAATGCTTTGGTGAGTGAAATTCATGGAAGAAACTTCAGATATTAGCTCTCTGGAGGTGTTCAAGAAACATGTAGATGGGGTGCTCAGGGACATGGTTTAGTGGGTTAGGTGCTGTTGGGCTGACGGTTGGACTTGATGATCCCTGAGGTCTTTTCCAACCTTTATGATTCTCTAAAGAGCTAGCATGCCTGATTTTTTTTTTTTTTTCCACCAGCAACATTGTAGTTTTAACTATTCTAAGCCACTACGCCATTGACTCAATAAAAGACTCACTGGCCCCATGGTAGGACTTTCTTTGTGACAACTGATGCATCTATAGCTTCGACCTCTCTCTTCCACTTTCCTTGCACTTACTAAGGATATTAACCTCTAGAACAAAATTGCTTGTGGGTATCATTGTGGTGAGGTGACTCAAAAAGTTAATGAAGCTTTCATCAGGCTTTCTGAGTTGGTCATGGTTGTGCTAGAATCATGGCCTGTCAAAGCATCTTGCTGATGTGATGCCATGGCAAAACGAAGGCTGAGATGGAGGTGTACCCAGCAGACGCTCTTGCCCTTCTCCTGCCCTCTAACCAACCAAGTCAGTGGAGTGTCTGGGTATGTGCAGAGCCAGAGACTGACCGGAGGGGAAGGGGCTCCACGCTGACATGCCCTGGGGAAGTAGCCTTGTTTGGGGGGTTTCTCACACATTGAGAGGTGCTTTGTCTCTGAACAAAGGCCTTGTGAGACTGAGCTGGCAGTGCAGTGCTTGGTACAGTCACTGCAGAACATCCTAAGGCAGAAAGTGGTTGCTGGCTTCAGCTGTCTTCGTAAGGATGGCTGCAGCTGGAGGGCTGAAGGCATGACCTGCGTGGAGGGGAAAGGTGTCTGCCCTGCCTGGGCTTTTCTCACTGCCTGGGATGTTTTGGGCTGGTTTCGTTGCAGATACTCAGCTGAAAAACATCTTTGGAATACGTTGTTTAGATCGTGAGAAGTGATTCTAATGTAACTTACTGTGTTTCTGACATTCTCCCTTGAATGTTTGATTCTTTTTTGCTCCACTTGCACAATTCTTTGCTTTCTTGAGAATATGTTATTTTTCTTGGCAGCTCCGAGCTGTGGCTAGGATCAGAAGGGATGCAGAACACTGTGGTGTGGGTTATTTAAAACTTTACTGCATCTAAATCCAATAAGCCCATAAAATACCAGCAAGCTCTCTTATAATAGAGAAAAGTTTGGAGGGTGCCATTTTTGCTTCCCTGCAGGAATAAAGTGCTTTTTCTGTGCTGTTTGTTCTGAATCTTTCAGTATGCCATATGTTTCACAGACACCCATATGGTGCATCTTTTCTGCCCTTCACCTGTCTGTAAGACAATTTGAATGCTTTAGGAAGTGCTCTTCTTGAGTGTCTCTGACCCACGCAGTGTAAGTGTAGGTACCGGTGTTAATATGACAGGACGTGTTCCTTGAACTGAGTGGATTTCGTCTCCTATAGCTAATCTTCCTACAGATTTCTTGCTAAATCTCTCTAAATGCACTTTAATCCTGTAAAGCTTGAATTATGGCATGTGCAATTTAAAGCATGTGTGTTGTTGTGTTTGTTAGCAAGTAGAATAACACTATAGCCTGGAAAACTGTGGTTTGTTATTCAGAAGTGTTGTGTATGTAATATGAAATATTCAATCTGCTATCCTTGTATTTGTCAGTGAATAAGAACGTATTGATTTTTGTACTAACTTTTCAGCTAACAGTTTTTTCTTACTTTGACACGAGCACCGGATGATTAACTTGTGTCCTCTCTCTTTCTCTGCTGTCTTCAATAGAGCATGCATCATTTTGAACGTGAATTTTCGGAAAAGTAAGCTAATGCTGATTTATCTCTTTAAAGATGCTCTGTTTCTGGATGGGAAAGTTGAATGCAAATCTGGAACTTGCTTAGTGTTGGGAGGGAGTAGAAGAAAAAGATCTGAACATTCTTATGGATTATCTTAATGAAATACAGCATCTTTAAAAACTATCACTAAAATGATTTTCTTTGTTTGCATCCCATTCTCAGCCAAGTTTTTAATGCTGTTTGCACAATTACTGTCACTTTAAATTCATAATTAAGTTTTTGTTTCAATTCAGGCATCAAGTTTACAGCATCTGATTTACTTCCTATTCCTTTTAACACACTCTCTTAACAAAAATGTCCCTGTAAAAAACCCTTGGTAAGTTCTTGTTTGAGTGTTTTATTCTTACAACTGCATGAATGAGTAGAACGTGTGTTTGCAGGCAACTTCTTCCAACATATGTATTGGGAAGGTCTAGTGATAACTGCGCACTTGTCTTAAATGCTTTTTTCTACTAAATACAGGAAAATATTTCACTGTGGGCAGAACAATTTATTCTATAGATATAACAGCACCTGAATACACAAGTGTGAACTAAATTTCCTTTGCACCACTCGTGTCCAGAAGGGAAGGACAGCTTGCTTTTGAGTGACTGAAATGAATGGATTTGAAGATTTCAGACTCATGCTCATTGTTAGTAGGTTCAGTATGTAACACGCATAGCTAGTCAGATACCGTTCTAAAACCCGTGTGTATTGATGTTTTAAGGCAGAGCTCAGGTGTAAGAGCTTGTTGTCCGTAATCAGTCTCCCAAGAGCTGTACTGTATGGTGTTGGTGGCAGCTCAGTTTTAATAATAGCTGGTCCTGAGGAATTTAACCATTTTCCAGGAAGGAAGGTGGCCTCTCCCCCTACTCCTCTGTCTTTTCTACCCCCATTGTAAAAATAACCAGACCAAAAACTGAAGATAACACACAGAATCTTGGCTTAATAATACTTGGGGATCCAAGCACTTTGTGGCTTTTTTGCCCCTCTCTCTGTCAGATGTGTGCCTTCTTCCACTTCGTGCGTTATGTTGTATCTGTATTCTGTGCAGAGTCCTGGTGGCTGTGCTCATGGTCCTTCCCTGTTGCATCTTGTAAACCTCCCTGCACAGCCTCTTCGACCTCACCTTGCAATTCCAGCCAAAAATCTCGTCTCTGTTCTCTGCAGTTCTTGCTTCTCTTTCAAGCCGCTCCATTTATGATTAGCTCACCTTGGCTCTTTGACAGCAGTTCATCTGATCAGTGTGGTGGCCGCGTTGGTACGCCAGTCCTGCAGGGTTCTGACACTGTAACCACAAAAGTGGCTGCCTGAACTGTTCTTGGTCTTGTTCTTCTTTTGGCTAAGTGTCAAGTTTTGCTTTGCGGTGCTTTGCTGGCAGTCCCTACACACACGAGAAGCAGGAGGACTCTAACCTAGGGGATGGCTTTCCAGTATTTCTAATAATAAATCACCTGACACCTTTGGCTAGTGTAAAAAGTAGATTTGGATGAGTTAGATTGCTCCAAGGCACCAATATGCCATTTATTTCAGTTTGTGCTAACACTGTGTAATGTTTTGGTTACTTAAGAGAGCAGTTGATCCACATGCAACAGGCATGTTAAACTGTTTCGGTTGACCTCTGGTATTTCTCCTAGGACTTGAGTATTTCCTCTGGAAGGGAGGGGAGTGAAGATGAGCCCAATATTACTTCCATGTTTTGTTGTCACAGAAGGTTTTCATGCCAGTGAGAGTTTCTTGTGAAGATCACAGCATGTATTAGTGTACATTGGTTAAATTGGATGGTTTGTGTGAATACTCTGCATTTTGAGCTTGCTCCCATATGGGAAGTCTCTCTTCAAAGACTGGTACAAATAGAAAATGAGGGAGCTTTGAGTTATGACTTTCATCAAGTAAAACTGCTTTTTTTAATTACAGCAGTTACTTTTGTACTATAACTTGTTGGGCTGAGAGCAAGTGGAAGTGAGGAATTGAGAGAAGTGGAGCACAGAGAACTTCGCCTGCTTTTTGTTTTCTGTGGCTGCGCTTTACCCTTCATTGACCACCTCCTGAGTCCATATGGCACCATTCCCTTTAACTTCCTTGGTGTTCGCTTACTTCATAGCAAGCAGTTCTCCTTCAGTAACCGTAGTTTCTTGGTTGGCCTCACGTTGTTTTGCTTTGTTGTCCTTTCGTATCATAGTTCTTGCCACTTATCGGTATATTCCTCATTGTAGATCAGAACTGCTGGAAGCAAGTGTTATACTATAGGTGCCATTGGTCTCTCCAGTCTTACTGTGGAATAACTCATGATCTAGATGATGGAGTTAAAATCCACTGTGGAATAGTTCCAAGATACTAATCATTATGCCCCTGCTCATTGCAGAATATACGAGACAAGACAGGCCCATCCTTCCCCATTCAGCTGGTGGGGGGCTGCAAATGCCACCTTCACGTGGATGTCCTGTGGAACACCAAGCAGTCACCCCTGAAGTCCTGTGCTCTTACTCCAGCACAGACCTTTGATTGTACTTGTGTAGAAATCATGGTGCAACATGCAGCAGCGGAGTTGCACAAGATCGGGGTGCTTGGGAGAGCTGCTTGGAGCGGCTCTGCCTTCCCGGGCAGCCCGGGCATGGAGGCTGGGGCATGATGAGAAGCACGAGGTGGATGTGACTGGGGTAGAGAGCAAGGGCCAGAGTGCAGAGGTGGCTGGTGGGAACACGAGGCAGGCGAGCAGCATGTGGCAGATTGTTGTGATTCATTCAGGCTGTGAAACAAGCGTTTGTTACATGTTCAGAGGAAGTGTAAAATGCTTCCAGAAAACTCTATCTGCAGTTAGGACTTAAAAAATAGAGTATGATCTGACCAAGCAGTCATCACAAAGACTACAGCGATGTGGTCCTTCCTAAAGCTGGTCATGTAAATAAGAACAGGCAGTAAGATTTGCTTCCAGTCTTTGTTTCTGTTCATGACCCAAAGAGCAAACTGCTTCCCTGGGGACAAACAGAAGAAATGGAAGCTGGGAAATCCGGTTAAGTGATCTCCCTTTCTCAGTGCAATATCACATCTGAGTCTTGTTTTGCATCCCCAAGTACTGAGACGCTTCAGGCTTCATTTCAGGTGTGTCAGATGACAGGACTCACCTGCAGATAGAGGGATTGGATCACTCTGGCATTGTTCATCTGTTCTGTTCTTCACACTCCACTGGCATTCAAGGAATGATGTGACTAGTGCAGGACTGACCAAGTCCAGCTGAGCAGCCGCAGTCCTTTGCAGCAGGCCCTTCCTGACATAATCAAACTCCATCTTCTCTCCTCAACCCAACAGGAGCATCGTCGATACCCCCAGCACCGCCACCGCCACCCCTGCCACCAGCAGCTCCTCCTCTGAGTACAGAGGTGCCAACGCAGCCAAGCCCGCAGCCCCATGTCAGTGCAAGCCGAGGAGCCTTACTCAGCTCCATTCAAAACTTTCAGAAAGGAACTCTGAAGAAAACACAGACGTGCGACTACAGTGCTCCCAGGATCAGCTGAGGCTCCTGCTCGCACCAGCACTGAATTCCCTCCCCCTCCTGTGCTGTCTAGGAACAAGCCCCTCCTGGCCGGTGACTGATCCACCAGCATACAGCAGCTAATCGCCCTGTTGCTGTGTTTATCCCTATTGCAGCTTTCCCTGAGGAGCAGCTCTGCCCTGCTGAATTGCGTTGCCATGCTGTGAGAAGTACTCCATTCTTCATTCGGTTTCAACACCTTTGTTCTCCAGCTACAGTTTCAGGGGTACAGCAACTTCTATATAGCTGAATAAAAATCTGAAAATAGGAATGACCATGATCATGGTGAATTAATGCTTTTTTTTTTTTCTAGCTCTGTTCCACCCCCTCTTTCAAATTACAGGAATGTAGTTTTAGTCTGCTCAGATTTTCAGCTCTTTTCATGCACTTGTAACTCATCTTAATTCTTGCTGCAATGGATCAGCAAGTTTTGTTTTAGATAATCCAACCCCCCCAACCCTTAAACCGTACTGCACAGGTGAGGGAACTGGAGAATTAAATCTTATTCCCACCATATTTGCTGGTGAAGTAAAAATGCTGTCTCATTGAACTTGTTTAAGTGGACATCCCACCTGTAACCCTAAGGGAAAAGTGTTTTATAAACCACGAAACAGTTGAAATTGGGAGTTAATAGGGCACTGGGATATTATTCTTGATTTAGTTAAATGCAAAGTTACTTCAAGTTAATTCTATAGCTTAAACTTTATTGAAAGATCCTTTTTGATTTAAAACCTTAAACAAATTGCACTTTAAAGGATTATAGATAATCCATTTTTTAAATTCAAGTACATCAGTGTTTGTTACTATGCAGAGAATGTCTGTACAAAGTTTCATGTAACCTGTGATATTCGGTCATTTTTATTAAAATGTTAATGGAATTCCTTCAGCAGCGTGGTGGTGGGTGTATTCAGCTAGGATTGCACCTGCAAGCCAGGCCTCCTCATAGCACTTCTGCTACAGGAAATATCCTGGAAAGTATTCCTGGCCCTTAGCACCTGAGCTTTTCTGTCTGCTCCCAGAGGTAAGGATCTCTCTCAACAGCTCCCAGGAAAGGCAGCCTACCCCAGCTGTAGAGCAAGCCACCGGCAGAGACTCCTACGGGCAGCTTTCACTCCGTGCCAGAAGCTGCTAACAAAGCCCAGGGGAGCTCTCCCTGCCTGTCAGGACCAGCCCTTTAGCTAAACCCTAACGAAAGGCTGCTGCGACTGCTTCCCAGCTCTTCAAACGCAATCTACACAACTGCTGCTTCAGACCCAGGCTCACTGTGTCGGAATAAAATAACTCATTGTGCGCTAAGAACTACAGTTTGAGCAACAAAACCATGAAAGCAAAGCTTCGGAGCAAGTATTTTTTTTATCACTGTATGTAGCAGTTAGTAAAGAAAAATTAGGTAGTGTTTCCCATCACGTACTGAGAGGATCAGAATTTTTATTTAAGTTCTTGTTGCAGCTTTCTGGCATGAGCAGAGTGCTCCTCAAACTAAACACAGCAGCCATCTCTTAGCCCATACTGCAGGCTTCTAAAGCCACTTTGTGCGGACAGTTGCATTTAACTGTTGAACTGAAAAGCAAGGCTTCGCTCACTCCAGTTTGACCATTCACCTTTGATAAAGCCTTGTGAGCTCTTGCTCACTGCAGTTCTTCACTCAACCACCACTACAGCCAGTTTAACACAGAAAGGGAAGATTTTTTTCCTCCCTCTGAATTTAGAATTCTCCATATACAGCAGCACTAACCCACTGCTGAACAAACAAGCATTACCACAGTGTTGCTTATACAGAGTGTGGCTTAGAGGGTAACCCCATATAAATATTCTGGAAGGTCACTATACTTTCCCCACTGTACAAAAGTTCATGTAACTATACAACAAAGGTACGCATATAACTTGCCCTACACCATTACTACTTTGTAAAGCAGGACTTTAAAACATGTATTTACAACTTTAGATATTCAAAGTTTTCTTCACTGCAAATATGATATCCTTCACTTGAGGTATGCAGTTGTCTTCTAAGATTTTTGCATAAGGCATAGGAACATCTGCACCGGTGACACGCACAACTGGAGCATCCAAGTAGTTAAAGGCAGGTCCTGAAACAGAAGAGAGCTGTCAGGTTGCCGTGCACTATGGTTTTCTCTCAACTCAATTTCTGAATTTTAATCTATTTAAACAATTTAGTTCCTCTAGCTCTAATATTCCAGAGAGAGCTGTTCCTGCCCATTTATCTTCATGCACTATGGTTCAGACAAAAAGTTTCTGTCCTGCTTCTTGCACATAAGCATTCCTCACAACAGAAGATGAGCTGGATCCACCCTGTGCAAATCTCTAGAGCAAGACAGCCAGGCTCAAGCTCCTCAGATAAAAAACCCTAACGTTGCCTTCATCTGGCTTTATCAAGAAGTTGTCAGGATTTAGACTTGGGAATGAGATCAACATCTGTACTGCAAAACTCAGTACCTTCCATGATCCTGGCACAGATTTCAGCTCCTACTCCAAATTGTGGCCAACCTCCTTCTACGGTTACAAGATGGTTTGTCTTTGCAACACTGGTTTCCACTGTTTCAATATCCATTGGTCGAATGGTACGCAGATTTATAACCTGAAAAAAACACAAACGGTGTGAGTTTTGCTATGATCTAAGCCTGCCAATTACCACTGTTACAGTGTTCTTTAGCACTTTCACCTATTCCAACTTTGAAGACAAGACTTAGTAAAATTTCTAACTTTTGATTCTGGCAGAGACTGTGCAGAACAGTTTCTGGTGGCTCCTGGAAACTCCAAGATAGGTGAGTTTTTGTATATCTAGATACAACCATACTAACACATACCGTTATTGTTCTGCTTACCATGCAGCTAGGTCAATGTGGAAATCGTTAATTTTGTGAAAAGGTCAAATATAGAAACATGAAATGCAGGTGCTTGGCTCACTAACTGTTAAGGCATTACAAATAAAAAAAGCTTGTAGTTATTGCACTGAAATTCTGCAGAGCCTGAAAGGAGAAGAGCCTCTGCTTTCTTCCCCAGTTCAGGGAAAGAAAAAAGCAACAGAAACCCCACCCACCTCACACTCCACACCTTCTTTGGCAAGTACAGCAGCTGCTTCCACACAGTGTCCAACAGGTCTTGAGTGTGCCACTAATGTAATGTGAGTTCCTAGAAGTGTTAAAAAAAAAAACAACAACCAAACTAACAACTTTAAGACTTAAAGCTTTTCTTCTAGACCTCAGGCTCCCTTCATGGTAATGTTAGGATTCTCTTGTAAATTTAAGTTCCTTATATTTCGTTGAAATGCTAAATATTCTACATCCATACACAGCATGAAGACTGGTAGCGGAAGGATTATGTGAAGACAAACTTTACCCTTTAATTCAGGGAACTGAGGAGATATTTAATATAGTGTTCAGAGTATCCTTTTCAAACTTTCATATAATTACGTGGTAAATTATGAACAAATGGGCTGAAATATATAGTGATCTCTTTGCATTTTTGATAAAAATTGCATACTAAGGTGAGGAAAAAAGATTTTCAGATATTTTGTACTCCACCTCTATGCTAAAGAACAAATCTTTTAGAAAGCTATAGTTTTAGATAAGATACAGAGAATCAAGATAATAAAGTATACTACAGGATAAAATAACATTTAACATTTGAAATACTTTTCTGTGCCCCATGACAGCAGTACTCTGAATAGCTAGAAGGTTAAAAGTCCCCAAGCAGTTCAGTTCATAAGGAAACAAACTATTCTCAGCTTACCTTGCCTTTCTATTTTAGCTTTTCCAATTGGAACAACAAAATCCTTTGACTGTGCCTGTTCAGAGATTTCAAAGGGAACACCGTACAGTAATTCGTTTTCCAGCATCACAACTAGAAGAAAACATACTTGGATTAATGTACACATCTGCAGGCACAGAACTGTACTGATGATAACGGTACTGCAGCAGACTAGCTCAAGATGCCTCCCATCCAGGCAACAAGGACCTGAGTACGTTTGCAGAAGCAACTTAAAAAAAAAACAACACAGTCTTTACTTTAAGGCTGAATTATTTAAAAAATTGTCTACAATTAAGCCTTAAATGAGATCACATATTTAACTTTTGGTACATGATGGTAGAATCACTAGATTTAGAAAGGTCTTATAGATTTTGCAAATAAAGACAAAGGTTACCCTGCTTTTAATTAATGGCATTCTGAATTTATCATGTGAATTGCATGATCTGTAAAAATGAGTTACATAGACATTGTATATGCAGGAAATCCTCCTTAGTAATTTTCATCCTTTTTAACCCCTTTATGATAGATTCATAAATGCCTCCTCTAAGTTTCTTGATTGGTACCAAACTGGCATTAAAGATATGTAGCTGGCAACGGCACAAAATTAGTCTACTGCTAGCAAGCCAAGTGACTGTTAGGAAAAGGATAAAGACTTCTGTGCCTTTGTAAGTATCCTAAAGCTGCAGTATAGCAACCTTAAATGTTTTGAGGGGAAAACAGACATTCTTTTCAGGATCGAGTGCTAGGTATCGCCATGATCTGCCTGTGTTCACCTGGATTATCATCCCGGATTGCCGCTTTCAGCAGACCTTTGGCATCTTCTGCGCTCCAAGGACTAACAACTTTTAGTCCCGGGCAGTGCCCGTACCAAGCTGCGAAGCACTGCGAGTGCTGAGCGGCAACTCCCGCCGATGCCCCGTTGGGGCCCCGGAAGACAATGGGAACACCGATTGATCCTGCAGACATGTAACAGGTCTTGGCAGCGGAGTTTATAACCTGATCGATTGCTTGCATGGAGAAGTTGAATGTCATGAATTCACACACTGGTCTCAACCCTGCCTATTAAATATATGAAAATAAGTATTAGTATGTTTTTACACAAAAATGGTTTAAACGTTTAATTCAGAAGGAATGCAGATTTACACACCATAGCAGCACCGACAGCGATTCCTGCAAAGCCCATCTGAAAGACAAGGAAACCAAGGGTAAGCACCAGGGGAGCAGCTGATGAAGGGGTGGCCAGGGTAGGAGATCGGGAGCCTTACCTCTGATATCGGGGTGTCAATCACCCTCTTGTCCCCGTACTTCTTCCAGAGACCCCTGGAGATCTGCAGGGCAGGAGAGAGGAGTCAGGGCCCACCTGAGGCCCTTCACCGACCCGGTAACGGCAACCACGCACCTTGTAAGCGCCATCGTACTGGGCCACCTCCTCACCCAGCAGGAAGACGCGCTCATCCCGCTCCAGCTCCTCATCCAGCGCCTGGTTCAGCG